GAATCTAAATTCCTTTACTGCACCATGAGCTACTTCAGGGCAGAAACTATGTTTAATACTTATTTCTCATCACTTGCTTGAGATACCAGCACAGTGTCCCAGTGTGAAGCTATGGCCCAACTCTACCACTCCCCGCTGGGAAAGTGACGTCTCTGATTCTTTGCTTTCCCGTCGGAATTAAATTTTTCATTTACCCAAGTACTTACGGAGTACCCATTATGTGCCCGGTCCTGTTCTAGATTATATGAACAAAACCATTAAAAGCCTGTCCCCCACAGAGAACATTCTAGTAGGGACCCACAGACAAGAGACAAAATTTGATATGGTAAGTACAACAGTGATAAGTGCTATTAAAAAATAGCAAAGGAATATGAGGCATGTCGAATGTTGGAGGGGGAAATTAATTTGAAATTTTTAATATGGTGGCCCAAGAGGCATAAATGAAAACGTAATACTTCAGTAAAAACTTGAGAGAAGTAAGGGATCATCCCATGTGAAAAGTATTTAGGGAACGGCACCTGGGTGGCTCAGTTAGGTAAGTGGCCAACTTCTTGCTTCAGGCTCAGGTCATGATCTCATGGGTCCTGAGACTGAACCCCATGTCACTGGGCTCCACACTCAGCAGGGAGTATGCTTGAAGATTTTCTCCCTCTGCCTTTCCCTCAGACTTGCACACAGGCATGTGCGCATGCACCCTCTCTCTCTCTCTCTCTCACTCTCTCTAATAAATAAATCTTTTTAAAAAATAAGTATTCAGGACGCCTGGGTGGCTCAGTCAGTTAAGACTTTGCCTTCGGCTCAGGTCATGGTCCCACGGTCCTGGGATCGAGTTCTGCTTCAGGCTCCCTGCTCAACAGAGAGCACGCTTCTCCCTTTGCCTGCTGCTCCCCCTGCTTGTGCTCTCTCACACACACACTCTCTCTCTCTGAAAAATAAATAAATAAATTTTTTTAAAAAAATTAAAAAAAAAATAAGTATTCAGAGAGACGGAAGAGTGGGAACAATGCCCTACTGTAGGAGCATGCTCTGTGTCTGAAGAATATCAAGGAGAACAGTGTGGCTAGAACCCAGCGAATGAGGAGACAAGCAGTAGAGAATGGAGTCAAAGACAAAACCGAAGACCAGATCACATAAGACCTTTGTCTTGACTTTTGTCATTATTTAGAGTGAAATGGTCACTGCTAGAGGATTTCCAGCAGAAGACATGACCTATCTGGCTTATTGTTCCAAAAGGATCACTCTGGATGCTGTACTGAGACTTAAGGAGGGCAAGAGCGAGAACAGGGAGACCAATGAGGAGGCTGCTTCAATAACGCACCCTCAAGGGCATGTTGGCTTGTGCCAGGGCAGTGACAGGGATCGAGAGAGAAAGTATTAGATTCGGTATATATTCTGAAGACCTCAAAAGAGTTCCTCACTATTTAAATGTGGGATGGAGTGCGAGAAAAAGAGAAGAATTGAACATATTTGGCCTGAGCACCAGAAGGATGATCTGTTATTAAATGACATGGGGGAAACTGAGGGAAGAGCAGGTTTGGGTTGGAGAGAAAATCAAAAAGCCACAGGGCTAGGTTAAGTCTGAATTGCCTATTAAGCATTTAAGTAGAAAGATGCCGAGTAGTCAGTTACATTTATGTGTGTATGTATGTGTGTGTGTGTTCTATAAAATAGTGATAATACCAAATGCTAGCAAGGAGGCAGAGAAACTGGATCACTAATACGTTGCTGATATCGACGGAGGGTGGGGATATAAATTTGGGAGTTGTCAACATACAGATGGTATTCAAACCATCTGTTAGACGAAATGACTAGGGGCTTAAGTGCAGACAGGAAAGAGAATAGGTCAAAAGACTTCAGTTTCAAGCATCCTAATGTTAAAAGTGAGGAAATGAGATGAAACAAGCAGAGGAATCGCAGAATGAAGTGACAGGAAGAAAGGAGGAGAACCAAGATAATGTGCTATCCTAGTGAAGGTAACAGAGATATTAATCTTGCTGGTTTTTTGTGAGGCTTAAACCAAGATGAAAGCATTGAACAGGGTCAGTCCCATAACTGGTGTTCAATTCAGTCTAGTTTGATTCAGTATACACGTGTTAATTGGTACATTCAAGTTTTTTGTGTTGGTTTGTTTTATTTAGTTTTATTTAGTCTGCTCTAACCACATCTTTATGAGAAGAGCTACAAAAAAAAAAAAAGCCTCTCAATTTTGCTACCTATAAGCATAATTAACATGCAATGGAAATGAACTAGATAATTTACCAAAAAAATAACAAACAATCTCTAATGCTTTTTCTTAGTTTACTTGTACTACTGTTAAATCTTGAGCTCAGAGGAAATGATAGCTTCACTACTAACAGGAAAACCTAAACATAAATCAACCGTGTTTATTCATTGAAAATTAATACAGTAGACTAGAGAACCCAGAAACAGATTCACCCACATATACCAAAGTGATTTTTAACAAAGTGTCAAAAGCAATTCAACAGAATTGCTTGGAGTAACTGGACATCCATAGGCAAAAAAAAAAAAAAAAAAAAAAAGAACCTCAATATAAACCTCACACCTTAAAATTTAATTCAAAATGAATCCTGGACTTCAGTGTAAAACATAAAACTATTAAAATTTTGGGGAAAATCATGAAAGAAAATCTTCAGGACCTAGAGTTAGGTGAAGAGCACAACAAAAGTTAAAAGTGATAAACTGGATTTCATAAAATTAAAAATCTCTGCCATGCGAAAGACACCGTAAAGACAATGAAAAGGCAGCTACAAATTGAAAGAAAATATATATAAACCACATATCTGACTAAAGATTCATAGTTACAATAAAATACTTTCAATAGTTTAAAAAAAATTCCGATTAGATCAGGCATTTCACAAAAGAGGTAATTAGTACATGAAAAGATGTCATCATTAGCCATTTGAGAAATGCAAAGTAAAAACAACAGGACAGGGGCACCTGAGTAGCTCAGTCTGTTAAACGTCTGTTTTCATCTCAGGGTCCTGAGGGTCCCAGCCGCATGTTGGGCTCCCTGCTCAGTGGGGAGCCTGCTTCTCCCTCTCTTCCCCACTTGTGCTCTCTCTTACTATCTGTCTCTGTCTCTCTCAAATAAGTAAATAAAATCTTATTTTGGGCTCCTCACTCAACAGAGTCTGCTTGAGATTCTTTCCCCCACCCTCTTCCCCTCTCCTCTTCCCTTTGCTCATGCTCTCTCTTGAATAAATAAATAAATAAAACCTTAAACACACACACACACACAAAACAGGATAACACTCCACACTTAAACAAAATGGCTAACATAAAAAATACTGGTAACATCAAATGTTGGCAAGGATGAAGAGAAACGGAGTCATTCAGACATTGCTGGCAGGAATGTAAAACGGTATAGCCACTCTGGAAAACAGTTTAGCAGTTCCTTAAAAAATTAAACATGCACTAACTATAGCACCAGCAACTGTATTCCTGGGCATCTACTCTAGAGAAATTAAAACTTATGGTCACGTTGTCTCACCAACTGAAGGACCTTTGGGTTGTACACAAATATCACAGCAGCACTGTTCATAATAGCCCCAAAGTAGAAACAACACAAAAGTTCCTCAACAGGTAAATGGTTAAACAAGCTGTGGTGTAATACAATACTATGCGGCAATACAAAGCAACAAACTTGACTTATACTCCAACTTGGATGGATCTCAAGGGAATTATGCTGAGTGAAAAAAAAGCCAATTCCAAAAAGTAACATACTGTATGATTCCATTTATACAATATTCTCAAAATAAAATTATAAAGATGGAGATCAGTGGTCACCAAAAGTTAGGGTGATGGGTGGAAGGAGAGGTGGGTGTGTCTGGAAAAGGACAGCTCCAGAAGCCTGGTGCTCATGGAGCAATTCTGTACCTTGAATGCAATGGTAGTTGCACAAATCTACATACGGGATAAAACTATAGATAACACAAACACACGTACTTATAAAACCAGAAAAATAAGGGTAATCTGTGAAGGGGCGCCTGAATGGCCCAGTCAGTTAAGCATCTGGCTCTTGATTTCGGCTCAGGTCGTGATCTCAGGGTTGAGGGATCAAGCCCCTAGTAGGCTCCATGCTCAGCGGGGAGTCTGTTTGGGATTCTTTCCCTCTCCCATCCCCCCACTCATGACCCCTCTTTCTCTCTCAAATAAATAAATAAACTTTTAATTTTAAAAAAAAAGAACTATAAAGACCATACCAATGTCATATTCCTAGTTTTGATATTGTACATTGGGAAACTAAAAGGTACACAGAGTCTCTCTGTACATTTTTTTTTATAACTGCCTGTGACTCCATAGTTTTTCAAAAAATAAAATAGTTGCCATTATTGTGAATTTTCAAGGTGCTCATATAAAACATGCCATTCATGTAGAAGACTCATGTAGAAATCTGCTATTCTTTATGATTAGGGAAGAAAGTAGAATTCTGGTACTAAAAACTTTACTAAAACCTCTCCAGAATAGTTCATTTCTCATGTTTTCAATATGATGTAAGAAGAGGTAACCATGCTTTCACAGCATCCGAGAGTAAAAGGACACACGCATAAGAGTTCAACTGAGAAGGCATGGGATCTAAACATGGTTCTAAAGTTGAGTCTGTGTTCCACAGGTGAAATTTGGTCCACAGATGGTTTTGTTACTGCCCACAAGCCAACAGTTCTTACATTTTTAAAAGGTGATGAGAAAAAACAAAGAAAAATGTGACAGAGACCATACGTGGCCTATGAAGCCTAAAATATTTATTACTTGGTTCTTTCATAAAAAGTTTTCCAATCCCTGCTTTATAGTATTCCTCAATAAATTACATGCCAACCTTAGAAGAAAGCCAAAATTAGAGTTTTTAAAAAATCCTTGCCCGGCTTTCACGACCTGTTTGCCCTTTCATAGAGAAGTCTTCAGCCTTCTGGCAACTCCCCAATCCTGGACTCTCCTTTGATAAGAACATCATTTCAAGACGTTGCACTTGACAAGCTTACCGATGGGAGTATTGCCTTTAGGGAGCCCAAAGTCCGGAACGAAATTCTAAAGTCATGTCCCCATTCAGAAATACAGTGAGCCTCATCCACAGCAATAAGGGTGATACCTACAAAAGTGAAAAACATAAAAATGGGGGAAATAAAGTTCAAAAAGAAGTCATAAATTCATCTAAATCAATATCACCTCCACTTAGAATATATAAATTCTACAGAAAGGTGAAAAAATAACTCTAATCAAAGTATATGCTTCATATAAAAATATAAGCATAAATGACATCAGGTAACACCAAAATAATCATCATGAGAACAGAGGATGGGAGATATATGGGTAAAGGGGTATGGATAAAAGGAAACATTCATATATTATTCAAACAAGATTATTTATTAGATTTCAGCTTTCATCATTATTCCTCAAAGAAATGAATGAATTACTACTACTATGCCCTCAAAACTATCACTCATGAACCATCTGCAATGACAATGCCTTAAAAAAGAAGAGCGGTTTTCTTTTTCCTCTTTGGTAATACTTTCAATTTTATCTCATCAATTAGTTACCAAAAGAGATTAAAGAGCACATTCCTACTGAGATGAGGTGCATCATCACTGTCCATGACCGATCACATATCAGACCGCAGAGAGTTCCTCTGAAATGCCAGTATTGGAAGACAGGATGATAGCTGCATTTTCTAATGTAAAATGGTAAGAACTAAAAATTGGTATGTACAAGTAGGTAAGAAGGAACAGAACTCATTCTTTCTTCCCCTATCAACCCCCCCACTCTGCCCCCATACCATACACCCACACTGAAACAGAATCAATAGTGTATAGTACCGCATTTCAGAAAAGGGCTTTATTGTAAAACCGTCCATTAAAATGTCCAAAGTAATGACAGTAGCACTTTTGCCCTGTATTATCAAATTAATACTTGAGACAAAAATAATTTTTCCATTAATGGAGATGATCATTACTTGATAATTGAATATTAATGATTTTCTGCCATTAGGGGGGGTGATGACGAATATGTGCTCTAGAGTCAGACAATCTGGCTCCACCACCAACATTGTATTACCTTAAGCAAGTTACTTAAGCTTCCAAGTGTCAGTTTCCCACAAATAAAAGGTAAATATAGTAATACCTAACATTTTTTAGTCACTCTGAAGATTGTTAGGTATCAAATACACATAAAATACTAAGACAGGACCTGGCAAAAAAGGCAGCTCAATAAAAACAAAACAAAACACCAAACAATTATTATTAGAGTCATTAAATGCCTACTATGATCCAAGCACTTCTCTATAGGAAAACATTAATAAGATGTACTCTATAACCTTGAGAAGCTCCGAATTCCAAAAGAGGAGACAGACAAGCAAACAAACAATTATAATTCACTGAGATTACAAAATACAATAGAGATGAAAGAGAAAGCAAATAAATAAATAAATAAATAAACCTACTAAATATGAATACAGGCTGATTAGCATCAAAATTCTCTGGCTGCTGCTGCATAGCTGGGAAAAATTCAATGTTACCACTAATTTTGGCTTTAGAAACTAAATGACCCAAATTTTAAATTGGGTTAAAACAAACATGATGGCTTCTCTTTTATTTTAAAACCCTGCTTAAAATTACAGGTTTAACTACCTACCTCTTAATGAAGCTGAACTTTGTCCCTCAGCATCAGTTTATGGAGCTTTTGCTAACTTTTACTTTAAATTCGCAAGTCCAAGTGTCTACCCAAGTGCTATGCATATTTCATTTTGGCATATCTGCCACTCAAGCCTTATTTCTAAAGTCAAAAGACAATTATAAGTGTCTTTGCTTTTAAGGAGTCTCCATATAAAATTATGTTTGCTGCTTCTGTTATATACTCATACTACTTAAATAATGTAACATAAAAAGCATAAATCTGATTAGCTAAATGTCAGACTACCATACAAATAGAATTCTGAGTAGATTCATTTTTGCAAGCATTTTACAATTTCCTACAAACATAAGCCGAAGAAAAAAATATTTCAAAAAGAATTTATCCCTTTTTGTTCAACATTGAGAGTCAACCCCCCAAAAAAAGGATGTTCATCCATCCTATGCAGAGTATTCCTCTCTAATGATGGCAGTGTTCATAATTTAATCCATTACAAAAAATAAAAATAGAGAATTAGAACTAGCTGTCAAAGGATCTAAGTAAATACTTAAGCTAACAACTAATTAACCCCACCCCAGAAACAAAGCAAGTATTAAAATGGAACAAAACATATCCAGCTTACCATGGACACAAATCCTAACTTTTGATATAAAGCCATAAAATACATATATCTAGGGTATTTAGGCTTAATCCAAAGTGAAATATCATTACGAACTTCATACAATCTTATAAGACACACACCAAATTTGTCTTCCATTAAAGACAAAAATATAATATGCCAATAAGGGATAAGAAATTGGTAACACATCACTGATAATGTATTTAATCAAATGTTAACTTCTGCTCTGATTCTTTTGTTCGTATTTAATATATACCAAAAAGAAACAATTTGTTTTCATTTTATTGTTACAAAAATTATTAAATGCATTCCTAGAGTGATATGCTACTAAGCAACAATTAAATGAGATGTTGCCATATTGAAAATTAGCCTATCCAGAATATTGTAATATATAACTATACAATGAGATCATATAATATTAGGAAACTAAAACTGGTTGGTTCAACTGAATGTTTCAAATAACAGTACCTATGACTGCAATTTGTGGGTAGCTTATTCTAGCCATCAAGAAGGAAAAAAAAGACAAAAATTTTTGAAGTACAAAAAGGGAACCAGCTATAGATTAATTCTGTATTCACATTTTCTAGGAAATAAGCTCTGACTTACTATCTAACTTTTAAAACCATACTCAATAGTGGGAAATGATCAAAGGTAGTATGTTTTCCAACCCTAACTACACATCAGAATCACTCATGAAAAACTATAGGTGCCAGGGGACCACCCCAGGCATGTTGAATCAGAGTTTTCAAGGTTGGAGGACACTATATTTTTCTAAAGTTGTTAAAATGATTATCATGAACAAAGGTGGAGAACCACTACTGTGATTTAATTTAGATTCAGAATACAGAAAAAAGAAATTATCGTTTTACAGAATCTAAGATTCAACATTTATTCAATAATACATGTAAATCTCTGCTATATGCCAGGTACTGCATTAGGGCATTTTTTTTCCCCAAAAAGTTTATAGTCCAGTGAAAGAAAAGAGATATATAAACACGCAATTTATAATACAGGAACCTGATTTCTACAGCAGAGGGACTTTTAGGTACTAGGGGATAAGACTGGAAAGACATCAAGATGGAAAGTCAGAGACTTCCTGGTGGAAATACTGTCTGAAATCAACTTTAAAAGAAGTGAAATCCAATATCCAACCACATATTTAACTTTAAAGGATAACTCAATTAAGTCAGTACTTATAAAAAGATCCTATGGTACCACTTACCAATATTAGCCTGAAGTTGCTGGAGTAGGCTCAAGTTACCTGAACAGAATTCTGGAGTTAGGTATACAATGCGGTATTTGCCTCTGTAAAAATAAGCAAACAAAAAAGAAACAGGAAAGGAAATATGCTGTACTAAAGGAAACAATCATCCAGTGAACTACAACTTAAAACCATAACACCTGACAAATTTTTAAATGATACATTACACCACTTAAAGCTAAAAAAATGTTATATGCATGTATATATTCACACATATTAGTCCTCTGACTCTACTTCAACAAAGCAAAATGAAAAGTGACTCTCAGGGGGTACTCAGCATTAAGGTGACATTAGAAGCCATGTTCTAATTTCCAGCAGTCTAGCCCCAAAACTATAGTGTTTGAGTTAAACAATCAAGCCTATGGTAAGCCTTTTATGTGCTGGCAAACCACCCACATACCACCCTCCTTCTTGGAGAACTACAACCCATCACCCTCCCACTGACTCCCTCCCCATGATTAAGCCCACAGCACCCATGTTTCTCCTGTGTATTTTGTTCTCTTGCCTAAATACATCTTCTTGGGACAGGGTTAGCAACTGTATCGATGTCAAATCAATTAGTCTCTGTCCTAGATTTTGGGGGTCTGACCAAGAAACAACCAATCAGTCCCTGCCATTGGCAAGACCTGTAATATTTGAAAAAAGATGTTGCAGAGTGGTCTTCTCCATCTTGTGACTAGAAAAGCGGAAAATGCTCATTTCCTCAGAAGAATAAGGAAGACACACAGAGGCTATAAATAAAAGAAAGCCTTATTGTATTCTTGATACCCAATTCCAAGTCTCTTTCTAAGGGGTGGATAACTTGTGTTCACTGTGATCCATGAGACATTCCCATATCCTTAATACAAAATTCAGTATTTGCTTAAGCTAACTTGATTTTTTTCTGTTCTGGGCAGACAGAATCCTAACTAAGACAATGTTTGTAATAAAGGTTAGTAGGGCATTAAAAATATATAGTCTCCTTTTCATTCTACCAAGTGAAAACATAAAGTAAAATAGAATGAAAATTAATTTCCCTTATAAAAAGACTTTAAAATATTTCATCTACTGCATGGTAGGCATGGCGCTTTCATTAGGAATTAGGAACAAAATAGATATGCTTTTAATCTCATGAAATTATTCAATATTCTAATTCACATTAGAAAACAGTATAAATAACAAGCTCTGATGTCAAACTGTCCAAGGTTTGAGTCTCAATTCCACTTCTTATAAGCTAAGTGATCTTAGCTAAGTACTTAACTTTAGTGTGCCTCAGTTTCTTCAGCATAATATAGTAATAATAATTGTAAGGACAGGGGCACCTGGGTGTTAAAGCCTCTGCCTCCATATGATGTAATGTATTCACCACTAAAAAAAAAGGAATGAACTACTGATACATGTAACAAGATGGATGAATCTCAAAGTAATTATGCTGTGTGATCTACACCAGACAAAACAAGAGCACATATTATAGGACTAATTCTGTTTATGTACAATTTTAGGAAATGTAAGCTAATCTAGAGGGACAGAAAACAGATTCATAGTTACCTGGTGAGTGGAGTAAAGAAGGTAGGAAAAAGAGAGGGGGATGGATTACAAAAGGTATGAGTATACTTTGAGGATGACAGATATATGTTCATCATCTGGACTGTGGTGATGGTTTTGTGGGTGTTTATATGCCAAACTCACCAAATTAGATATATTAAGTATGTAAAAATTATTGTATGTCAATTATACCTCAATAAAGGTAATTTAAGATGTTTAAAGAGAAAGAAAACATACATTCAAAAAAATTTATAGGAATGTTCATAGCAGCTTTATCAGTAATAGCCCTAAACTACAAACATCTTGGGCATCTACTGATAAGGAAATGAAAACAACAAACTATGGTATTTTCATACAATGACATAGCACTCTGATATATTTTTTAAAAAACCACGGACACATACAACATGAAGTATTCTCAAAACCTTTTGCTGAATGAAAGAAGTCTTACAGAAAAGTTCATATTGTATGACTCCATTTATATGAAGTTCTAAAACAGACAAAAATATGGTAGAAAAAAAAGACAGTAGTCTGCCTTAAAATGGAGAAAGAAGGACAGACTGGGAAGGGACATGTACAAGCTTTCTGGAGCGAGAGTAATACTCTATACCTTGATAGGGGTTTGGGTGATACATTTGTATGAATTTATCAAAACAATAAATACATGTATATATGTGTGTTTACTAATAAAATGCATACATGTCAATCTATATAAATACACACAAATTTTTGTATGTGTTCGAAACTTCATTCTTATTAGGAATTAAGCCATTTAGGACTGGTGGGGCAAGAGATCTAGAATCCAGTCCCTGATCAGCCATTAACTCATCGAATGACTTTAAGCAAATTATTTTCTCTGGGCCTCAATTTGCTCCTCTGTAAAAGGAGATACCTACTCTCCTAATTCTTGTTCAAAACCAAAATTTTAAAACAATATGACAACAATGCTAACTTCACAGTCCAAGAACCAAAAATAATAGATTTAAGTTTGAAAGATTTTTAAATTGAACAATTCTATAAATGTACTATAAAAACAAAGTACATTTTTAAATCCTGAACATTTTGTCCACAAATTAAATAAAAATTTTTATATAAATTTTTAAATAAATTATATATTTTTATATACAATTTTGTACAAAATTCTCACATACATCAGAAACCATATAAATTACTCACGATTTAATATCTTCTAGAACATTTTTTGACTGTGCTGATCCCAGAAAACAAGCTGGAATGTTGGACATTCTATAAGAAGAAAAACAAGTATTCTTGGAGCCATGTACATACTACATAGATCAACTTCATTCTTAAGGACTAAGGAAATACAATGAACAGTCCTCTTCTTTATAATCCTCACTCTTTTTGTAACTCACTAATTTGATAAACAAATTCCTCCAAAGGCAGTATTAGAAAGCAGGTTGTTGGGGCACCTGGGTGGCTCACTTGGTTAAGTGTCTGCCTTTGGCTCAGGTCATGATCCCAGGTTCCTGGGATCGAGCCCCACTTTGGGCTCCCTGCTCAGTGGGGAGCCTGCTTCTCCCTCTCCCTCTGCTCCTCCCCCTGCTTGTGCTCTCTCTCTCTCTCTGTCAAATAAATAAAATCTTTAAAAAAAAAAAAAAAAAGGAAAAAGAAAGCAGGTTGTCAGGGCAGGTTTTTCAGAAAAATTGCAAGCTCACATTAAAGAGGTTTAAAATTTTTGTGTAACTAAAAATTATACTTCCATGTATATACTTCATACCAAGCTAAAGAGCAAGGGTAACCAAAAGAGAAAAGAATTTTGAGATATGGATGTAAACTAGCTTAGAGTTTGCGGTTACAAAAATTTTTATTGAGACCATCTGGTAGCCTTGGATTATAAAGAACTCAAGTAAGAAGATAAGTTCTTCCACCAAAGAGTCATTTATCACTAAAAAAGAGCAGCATTCACAGAAATGTGTTACTGGGAACTAGATTTTAACATACATGATAGGTCACATGTTTTCCTCATGAAAGAAAAAAAGGGTGATAATGTAGCAATGAAAACATTACTAGGGCACCTGGCTGGCTGAGTGGATAGAGCCTGCAACTCTTCATCTTGGGGTTGTAAGCTCAAGTCCCACATTGGGTGAGCGACGACGTAAAAATGGAAGGAAGGAAGGGAGGGAGGGAGGAAGAAAACATTACTTACTTAAGCTGGAGGACTTGGTCTTCCATCAAAGAAATAAGAGGAGAGATGACAAGGCCAATCCTGCCTGAATACACAGCGGGGTACTGGAAGCACAAACTCTTTCCATATCCTGGAAATAAAAATAATGCACTGATAGATATAAAAATAAAGCATTGGTACTTTGATTTCTTCCTACAATGTACTTGTGTGAGATGAACGGTCCCTACTAACATGCTATCCTCCTAAGAGCTAATTTCTGCATAAATTTGAGCATCTAATCTCAGATCACTTTCTTCTGTACTTTATACCATTTGCATTTGTATTTATATTTTGAGAGTGTAATAAAAGATCACATATTTAAAAACCTTTAAGTTTTATATTTTAGAGGACTAAGTTATTACTGCTTATGTACAACTTACCAGTTGCCATCACAACAACATTATCTCTCCTTTCTTCCAAAACAGAATGAATCACCTTCCACTGAACCCTGGAGGGTAAAAAGCAAAAAGGCTATTTTGTTTTACTAACAAGAAACCCAAGGAAAAGTGGAAAATGTTTAATTTTTTCACTACCTCTAACAGAATTTCTTTTTCTTAAAGACTGTATGTATTTATTTTATTTTTTTAAAGATTATTTATTTATTTATTTGACAGACAGAGATCATAAGTAGGCAGAGAGGCAGGCAGAGAGAAAGGGGGAAGCAGTCTCCCCGCCGAGCAGAGAGCCCGATGCGGGGCTCGATCCCAGGACCCTGGGACCACGACCCGAGCTGAAGGCAGAGGCTTCAACCCACTGAGCCACCCAGGCGCCCCTATTTATTTTATTTTAGATTGTACTTATTTGTTTTATTTTAGAGAGAGCATGCACATGTGCAAGTAGAGATAGAGGGAGAGAATCTCAAGCACACTCCATGCTGAGCACCGCCATCAAGGGGCTCGAGCTCACCAGTTGAGGAGATCACAACTGGAGCCAAAACCAAGAGTCATAAGCTTAACAGAATGACCCACCCAGGCACCCTTCTAATAGAATTTCTTTTACATTTTTGAGCTTCAATATATAGACATAAATTTATTGATTAAAATAAAAGAGGGACAACTGGGTGGCTCAGTCAGTTAAGCATCTAATTCTTGATTTTGACTCAGGTCATGATTTCAGGGTAGTGAAATGGAGCCCCATATTGGGCTCTATGCTGGGCATGGAACCTGTTTAACATTCTCTTTCTCCCTCTCCCTCTGCCCCTCCGGGCACTTGCATGCCCAAGAAAGTGCAGGCACCCTCTCTCTCTCTCATGTCTGCGCACATGCTCTCTCTAATTAATTAATTAATTAATTAATTAAAGAAATGCTCCAGAGGCCAGGATTGCCTGAGAAGGGACATGAGGGAACTTTCTGGAGTTACTGTAATGTTCCATATTTGACTAAAGGGTTAGGCTACATGGGTGCATGCATGTCCTTTAATATATGCAAATGCACATTTAAGGTTTGACCATTTTCTTGCATGTAAATTTTACATCAAAAGAATAAACCATAAATATTTAACTATAGTTAATGATTTATACACTGAAGTACTTAGGGAGATAAATAATGATGTCCAGTCTACCCTGAGATGCGTTTTTTAAATTAGGTAGATTAAGGAATGGATAGAGAAGTGATAGATGGATATTATGATAAAGCAAGTATACTAAAATGTTGAATATACAGGTATTCATAGTAAAAAAAATTCTTTCAGCTTTCCTGTACCTTTGAAAATTTTTTAAATAAAATGTTGAGGGAAAAATCAATAGGAAGGGTGATCTTCTGATGTGCTGATAATGACCTATTTTTTCCTTATGTGAGTCCCGGTTACACAGGATGCTTGTAAAAATGCATTGATCTGTACATTCATGTGCACTTTTCTGTATGTAGAACATAGTTTAATTTAAAAAAATTTTAAGATCAAAGAAGAAGAAAGAAATGTTTCCATGGGTTAAATTTTTAAATTTGCAGAATAGGAAAAATGCAGTCTAGGTTTTTACATTCTTATTAGTTTTATTCAAAATTACTTGTTCCTTACCTCATTTTTATTCACCTTATTTTAATACTTATAAATGTGCCCCTTTAGACATAAATACATTTGAATATATTAAAACTGATAAGATTATCACTATTCTTCAAACTGTTATCTCATGAATTTCTACTATATCAGCATGCTTTGGACAGTAAGTTGTATGAAATAGACAACACAGATACTTAATGAAAAACAAGTCAACATTAAATTAAGATTAATTTATTAATGTGTTTAAACTAGTATCTATACAGAACTCTCTATGGTAAAGAAAATCACTTTCCTCTCATAAATACAATTTGTAGATACAAATTTTAAATAAATATTATTTTAAAATAACTTTGTAGTTATTTTAGTCACTTACAGGAAATGCAGTGTAGAATGTATAAACTACAGTGAAGTTTTGCTATTACTATTAAACAGATGGATTATTTGCCATTTTTCCTTTGTGAAGAAAATTATAAATATGCAATTTAATTAACTGAGATTATACTCACGGCTTAAAACTGGAATGGCCAAAATAGATCTTGAGGAAATTAATTTGGCTTGCATTAGGTCCTGGTAATGAATGGTCTTAAAATAAAATGAAATAGTCATTTATGTTATAATATAAGTGATAGGGAAGGAAAGTTTTATTTCATCGACTTCTTTTAAAGAATACAGTGATAAGTACCAGACATCACTGTTTCCTGTGTTTTAAATCCAACTAATTCAGTCCTCTGGATACCAGTCATGATTTTGTTACTTTGATTATTACCTAATAACGGATTAGAACTTTGTGCTTCTACTACAAAATGGTTCACACTTTGTCAACACTGTAAGAGAACAATGTTTTAGAATTTGCTAGTCTGCTATAGCGCTAAAACCTAACATTTAAACCCAACTATGGCAAGTGACATACCAATGCAAATTTCACAATACAACCAACTTTAAATTAATAGTAATCAGAAATTACATTACTATCACAAAGAAATCCACAGATAAAATTAAATCTTCAGTTTAGTTAGCTGTCCACCAAATCCTTGACCACAATTCTAAAGGCATAGAACAATGGAGTTACATTGATTTTATTCAACTAATTTTTATTTTCTACGCAGGTTGAACAGTTCATGAGTGGCCAAGGCAGAGCAAAGCAAAGAATCAAGACCACTCATCTATAAACAAATGAAAATTCATTATTAGATTTCTCAGCTTTTAACAATTCTAAATAGAGAACTAAATTGATTTGGAGATGTTATGCCTTCATTTCTTTCATTTCTTCATTAATACAAGAAAACAAGGAGAGTAACATTTTCTTTAACATTTTTATGTACTTTCCACCTACAATATGTATTTTAATTTTCCCACACTGTAACATTGACGAATATAGCTCTTGAAGAGTGTTCTACTTTATGAGAAGACCCCGTGGTTTGCCATAACAAATACTGTCACTTACACTTAAATAATAAGAGAGGTTCATTTCATGGATTCCTAACTACAGTTAGCATACACAGTAGGGAAATCAGTCCATTTTGCTGCCTGACATTGTGCCACTTGTTTGAAGGAATAAGTTCCTAAAGAACAAACACCATGTATCTTTGCCTTTAACAATAATGTTTACTTTAAGTCATTGAGGATTCTTAATAATGATTTTCTATTATTTTGACAAAACACAAAATTCAGGATGAAAAGTTTCACGTCACCAAATGCACCAAACACCACAATGCTTCTATCCCTCTACTTTCATAAATGGTAAGATTGTTGCTTTATAAAGACCAAACACCAAAGCAGCTAATGACAAGGTTTTAGGACCTCATTAATTACATGCCACAAAATCCTTGCCTCCAAAATGTTTAAAAACTGGATGCTAAATTAGTCAGCAGTAGGTAGGAGAGGTGAGTCGTTTCAAACATGTTCTAGCGCTTACCTGCACCCTCCTCTTCTTCTTCTTCAATAGCTTCAATCTCATCTTCGTCATCTTCAAAAGGAACATCCGGATTTCTTTCCATGTCTCTGCATTTTGAATGAACTGGATCTGCCGTGCCAGTATTTAGGTTTTCTAAAGACTGAAAGTTTAAAAGCAATCTTAAAAGCAAAACCATTGACAGTGTTGCATCTTTTTCACCCAACACAAAAGAAGTATTATTAACAGAACCTACAATTTTGTTCAAAGCTGGCAGATGTGCAACCAATACCACAAAAGAACATGTGTGCTCTAGTTTAAATATGTGTTCAAGAATGGTTTCTAAGGCATAAGGCCAAAGATGGAATACTTCCAGCATAAACAGGGTTTGTTAATAGCATATCATAAACTGCCTGTGGGGCAAGTTATCAAAATTTTGAATAAAATTTGAATTTTTTTCCTTTATCATACTTCAGTGTTTTCAATTGCCAAGAGGTGAGTTTTACTGATATTTTTGTAACGAGTTTCTCCTATCATGTGTCAGCATAAGATTTAAACAGTAAGCAAACAATAAATGTGTTTCTGTGAATTATGTGAATACGTTTATGTGAATTATGAAAACAATAAAAGATGCAAATTTTAAGAATGGAATATTACAAATGTGAATAAAGTTGCATTTTATTTTGGCTTGACAATATTGGATTTTCTCCCCTAAATGAAGATTATCTGTTTAAAGAACATTAGGATATTTCAAAATTGTTTCGTCTGCACAGTTTTTTACTGAAAAGAGACAGAAGGATTATTAAACCACAGTTCTCATTTTCTCTTTTTATTAAACCTTCCATTTAATAAACTTGACTTTCATGGTTTTCTAAAAAGTGTATTCATTTCAGTCCTGGAAAAGAAAAAGAGTGATTCTGTTTCTGATTTTTTATTCAAGTCAACAAATATACTTAGAAAAGCATTTTGAAAATAAAGTTCTCTCATATGGGCATCCAGATTGCCTTCTAAGAGGTTCAATATACAATTTAAGTTTGTGGAAGTCTGCAAGTGTCCTGTACATGTGCTACTTGAACAGTACTCCTCAGAGAAATGACTAATCAATCATGGAATATGATTTAGTATTTATGTCCTATTATTACTACTAGCTAATATTTATTAAACACTTAAGAAATGCCAGGCTCTGAACAAGCTCTTCACAAATAACACCTTAAATAATAACAGCTATTAACTGAGCATCTAAAAGACTAAGAAACTTGCCCAAAGTCACAGAGCAAATAAATGGAGAAGCTGGGATTTAAACCCACATCTAAATTCAGACTCATATTCCTAATCACTACTTAGTGACTCCTAATCACTATATTCCTAATCATATTAGGACTATGATTCCTAATCACTACCTACTATTCCAGTTCATAATGAAGAATAAGGAACCTAATCTCATTTTGTTTAAAAAAAAGAACAAAAATTTCACATCAATCTAAAGATGAGGAATAAAAAGCATGAATAACAATGAACTTCTGTGTTTTTCTTCATTTTCAATTAATCTGAAATTTAAGATTTTCTTATTGTCCATCCCTGGTTCATCCCTGGTTCATTCCTGACAAAGAAACTGGAGGTTGGGTGTAGTGGTAGAAAATTTATAATCACAAAATAATATTTTCAACTTTGACAATAAATTAGTGGAAAATGAAATAATTTAAAACATTAGAAAATGATATATAATATATCCATAGTAACTAAAGCCAAAAGAAGTAAAGAAGAATATTGAATGTATACCAACAGAACTCCCAAATAAAAGGGGATACACATGGATGGGAAGAGAAAGAAATCTATTTCAACAGAGGAGGGCAAAATCACTACCAACATTCCAGGAAGAGATTAAAAGAAGTGACCTGACAAGAATATGTTTTATAATATGTAAGAAATAGTATACTGCTACTAAAACATTATTCATAGGCCATATAAAGATGTAAACAAATATGAAACGGAAAATAAAATCTAATGGTTATATAAATGATAGTAATCTCATTGTGGGGGGACATTTAGAACTAGGTAATATTTTACATAACTGTCCTTTTTGAAAGAACTAGAAGTAAATTTTCATAATTTCAAACATACCTTAATCATCTCCATTTCTAAATCTTCATCACTTTCAATTACATAAGATAGATCCTCTTCTTTATCCTTAGAAGATAAATGTTTTAAAAAATATTTTGAACATTAATTTTCCAATATAATTGACCTCATACCCTGTTTTCTACAAAATAAAGTTCCTATACACTAGATATCTGTAGACAACTTCCTCTTCTTGCCTAATAGATAAATTTATAATACCTATTTACGTGGTTATATGAGGCATAGATAGGAAGAAAGGGTAGTAAGGAAGAAGAAAAAGGAGAATAAACAGAAACAAAGAATCAAAGAAAAAGAGAAAGAAAGAAATGTAATTGGAAAGATAAACAAGAGACAGATTTGATATAAAGCCCACAATCTAAGACAGAGTACAAGTGATAAGTTCAACAATAGTTAAACAATATCAAACTGTGTGTCCCAACTTGAGTACAAGAACCTCTTTACTGTGTTGAAAATTTCTATTCTATTTTAAGACAGTTGGTTCTTTTATATCCACTAATTTTAAAAAATCACAAAAAGCTCCTATGACTGTAACAATACCTTTAAATAAATCATTATTTTACAAATGGCTTCTACAAATACTTGAAAAATAGTGTCAGATAAGTTATTTATACAGCGGTTGTCAATGTTTGGATATGAGAAAACTTTATAATAATTTGGGAATCCCCAGGAAGCAAGTGTCCAACAGCATGGGACCCCTGAATAAAAGAAATGTAGAAGAACCCCAAAAGTCTAATACCTCATTTTATTGAAAGTAGGAAAAGGAAGCATAGTCATAATTAATCTGCAAAAAACAGTCTTAAAAAAAGATTTTATTTATATTTATTTATTTATTTATTTGAGGGGCTGGAAGGGCAGAGGGAGAAAGAATCTTAAGCAGGCTCCTTGCCCCAATGAGGGGCCTGATCTCACAACACTGAGATCATAACCTGAGCAGAAATCAAGAGTCAGATACTTAACAGACTGAGCAACCCAGGTGCCCCTTAAAAAAGGATGTTAAGGGGCGCCCTGGTGGCTCAGTGGGTTAAAGCCTCTGCCTTCAGCTTAGGTCATGATCCCAGGATCCTGGGATCGAGCCCCGCATCGGGTTCTGTGCTCAGCAGGGAGCCTGCTTCCCTTCCTCTCTCTCTCTCTCTGCCTACTTGTGATCTCTGTCAAATAAATAAATAAAATCTTTTTTAAAAAAGGATGTTAAAATAAGCTTTATAAAAAGAGAAAAAAATTCTTTTACTTTTAAAATAGGATCTTTAATAAGTAAAGAAAAAAACTGCTAATTATCACACAATAAAAATGGCAAGAATTGGGATAAAAGATGACAGATCATGAAATCCTGATCATAATTCTATATTATGATACGAAAAATAGTCTTAAAATGTATACCTAATAAGAAATTTTCAAAAAGCTAAAGCGTGATGCAGACATTAGCAAATGATATTTCCTAAAAGGGGAATCTGTTTTAAAAGTGGTTGGTAGAAGAATAGTCTGAAAATCTTTTTTTTTTAAATGCATTTATATATTGGTAGACATGATTTCTAATATAGTTACGAAACAGAGAATTTCTTAACTACTGAGACTTTCGACTGACATTAGAAAACTGAAGAGGGAAATAGCCCTATTAAATGACTTTCAAATTTAATTTTAAAAACTATAAACTTAGTTATTACAAAATAAAATGTATAAAATTCTACCAAATATGGGCATCATAGGTAATTTCCTAAACTAATGAAAAACAAGCGAGATAAAAAAATACAGCTACGTGATGTCTCATTTTATGATTTGTCTTTACAATAAAAAAAACATACAGATTTCTTCTCTAATACAACTTCAGTATTTCAAAAAACATCCTTAACTTAGCCAGGAGAAAAACAACCTCACAAATTAAACTACTCAGAACATATTAGAAATCTAAACATGAAGTTGACAGATAATATAAAATGTTTCACAACAATCTATTAAGAAAAAAACGTAGGTCACTGACTCTCCAGATAACAGTAAAGGTTAGTGTCGAGTAAAAACACTAGTTTATTAGAAACCCTCTCACAATAAGTAAGCAAAGAAAATCTTGTATAGGGAAATAGAACTACTCCCAAAAATCAAGTTTGGAAGAGTTAACACTAGTAGGAATATGGGAAATCCAAAAAAGCCAAGGTATCTATTACATAAAAATAAGGAGAAATACTAAAATACAACAAATGTGTACTGGCATTTTAAATCCTTCCATTACAAGACCATTAAGTTGTGCTTATTATACTAAGTCAAAAACAGCAAACTATAACTCACAAGCCAAATTCAGCCCACTTTTTGTTTTTGTTAATAAAGTTTCATCAAGGGGCGCCTGGGTGGCTCAGTGGGTTAAAGCCTCTGCCTTCAGCTCAGTCATGATCTCAGGGTCCTGGGATCGAGCCCCACATCAGGCTCTCTGCTCAGCGGGGAGCCTGCTTCCTCCTCTCTCTGCCTGCCTCTCTGCCTACATGTGATCTCTGTCAAATAAATAAATAAAATCTTTAAAAAAATAAATAAAGTTTCATCAAAATACAAACAAGCTCATTTGTTTGCACTTGTCTATAGTTGCTTTCACACTAAATTTTTAGACAGAAATGAACAGTAACACCAGAAAACATGTAATTGATCTGCATAATCTAAATGTTTACTATCTGCCCTTTCACAGAAAAAAATCAGCCAACCCCTACTAATGAATAAAAATTGCTTTCTATTTTTTTAGTACCTCAGGAGATTTGCAAGTCGCATCATTATGAAATTTTTCCTGAGCCTGCTGTTCCAAAATTTGGAGGTCACGTTCTGTAATATCTAATGACGTCAAACAAATTCTTTCTGTGTTCTCTTTCAACTTATTGCCTTCTTCTAATCCAGCTTCAAGCCTATCTTCTTCTTGTTTCACTTCATTTCGAAGTACATTTCCTTCATCATGTATAATTAAATTATCAAGTGTTGTGTCCCATAGATCATCTTCAACTTCAGGAAAAATTTTCTGTTTTATAATTTGTTTCTGTTGTACTCTGTCAGCAGCTGGATCTTCCAATGGTAATAACTGAACAGTCTCGGCAGAACCAAGTATCATCTTCCTCAATGAATACAGATTTTCTGAAATATCACATAATAATATAGAAATCCTAAAAAAATTAAGAAAGGTAATTCAACTTTAACTTCAATAACTACCAGCCCAGTTGTAATGCTTTTTTGTAAGTACAAGCTTTCTAAATTGACCTTCATTTAAAGGACACACTGGATTACAGTTATTCTTCATTCCCTAATAACCAAAATATGCTTACAGCTGTTGGCTACTCCCTAGTACAGCAAGGTACTTCTGCATTCAACTTATATACTTAATAAGCATATATGCTTATAAGCTTGTTGACTTGTATGCTTCCTAAGTGTCAGTAGTGTTTGGTCCCAAACTAATTCTTTATACCAGATATACTTTTTATGGTAATTAATTTAACTAAATATGTCAAATCAATGACACATGACCACAAAAAAAAATTTACACTGAACATGTTAAAAGACACAGCAATTTCCTTTGTTAAATTTTATTTTATTTTATTTATTTATTTGACAGAGAGAGAGAGATCACAAGTAGGCAGAGAGGCAGGTAGAGAGAGAGGGGAAAGCAGGCTCCCCACCGAGCAGAGAGCCCGATGCGGGGCTTGATCCCAGGACCCTGAGATCATGACCCGAGCCGAAGGCAGAGGCTTAACCCACTGAGCCACCCAGGTGCCCCAGCAATTTCCTTTTTTAAAAAAAGTTCTGGGGGTACCTAGGTGGCTCAGTGGGTTAAGCCTCTGCCTTCAGCTCGGGTCATGATCTCGGGGTCCTGGGATCGAGCCCCGCATCTGGCTCTCTGCTCGGCGGGGAGCCTGCTCCCCCCTCTCTCTGCCTGCTTCTCTGCCTACTTGTGATCTCTCTCCCTGTGAAATAAATAAAATCTTAAAAAAAAAAAAAGTTCTGTCTGATTAACTATAGTCAAAACAACTATAAGAGAAGAAAAAATCTTAAACACTCCTAAGACTACGCCATCAGATTCTTTCAAGTGTCTTGTTTCCACTCCATTTTAAAGAACCTAAAACTAGAAATTGCAGATGATACATAATGAGCGTGCTTTAAACAAGAACCACTCTGCAGAATTCCAAAGAGTAATCCTATATTTAATGAAGAAACCATGATGAATATCAAAACACTGGGAAACAAATGAACACTAATATATTAAGTTAGAAGAAAATTTTTATGATCCCACGTTTTAACTAAATGACTCAATTTGCCAATCAATTACTAGTTCCAACTGTAACATATAAGGGTATTTATGTTATAATTCGAAAATGATGCTGTTGTGCATGTTCAATAATCACAAAACCCGACACATATTCTTTGGAACAGAAAATAAAATGAACAAAAAACTTCCCATCAGTAAAAACTGTAAAAGGTAAGAAAATATGGAAAAGTTGTATATCGATAAATACGAATTTCTTAACTCCTTAGTTATAGTTGCTAATATAACATTTTAACTAAGTGACTTTATTTTTTTTTAAGATTTATTTATTTATTTGAGAAAGAGAGCATGAGCAAGAGAGACAAGCAGGGGAAGGGCAAAGGAAGAGGGAGAAGCAGACTCCCAGCTGAGCAGGGAGCCTGATGCAGGCTGGATCCCAGGACCCAGAAATCATGACCTGAGCCAAAAGCAGATGCTTATCTGACTGAGCTACCCGGGCACCCCTAACTAAGTGACTTTAAACAGCTATTTATAACAAACCTGTTTAACTGCAAAGGAAAACCACTGCTAGAGTGTAAAATAAGGCATACTATCTGCAGGTTATAGGGTTTATTAAAGCAATTTTTAATTACTTCATAAAAGTATAAGTTCAAGGGAGAAGAGGGAATAAAAGAAAAGAGACATTTTTCCTATTTAATTAACACTTTTGATTAGCTTTTCTAATTCTTCTGTATTGAAAACAGTACTTAATAAAATCCAATATGACTTTTAAAGTTTTATATTGATGATTCAAATAAAAATTTTATCATTTATGGGAATAGACTATCAAAAATGTTGAGTTGTTTCACGATTTTTTCCATGCTAAAAATAGCACCAAAGTTGGGCTCAAGCTTAAAGTGACAAGTCTACATCAATATAAATAAAAACAAAATCAAAATTAAACTCAAAATCTAAAAACTCATTAATTCTAACATTCTAAAATTTTCAAATCTTATAAAGAATAGTATTATATACAGTTATTCAAATATAAGAACTTACATAAATACTTTAGTAGGAACAGATATGTGACACTATTTAATTGTTACATGCATGGGAATGTTGTAATACATAAACATAGCGACAGTGACATACAGATTGATAGACTGTAAGGGCTTATTTATTCTGTGCTAACATCAGAGAATGGCTTGTCCCATATAAGATAACTATTTACTCCAACAAATATCAAACGATGTCTTCAGTAAGACATAATATACATTTCCTTCTTTCCTAGGATTGTTATTATGCATATTAGTAGCCTACAGAAAGCCTCAACATGCAACAGAATGTTAAGTACATCACAGCAATACAACAGATGTGTAATGAATTTAAATCAGTGAGTAAGTAGTACTGTACAATCCAATAACTTCCAGGGCCACTGAAGCATAAAGCTGTTCCCTTCTGTAACAAAACTCAAACTACTCTATTTTAAAGTTCTCGGTTTGTCTACTCCTTCACAGATTGCCAGCTGTAACTTCCAGCTATAGTCATGTGCTTAACATTCCTTATCAATACATTGTTTTCATTTTAACTGGATAGCTAAGCTTGTCAAACTGTATCTATAAATGAGAAGAAAATAAGATCTGAATGTGCCCTCATGCACTCCGCTGGAAATAGAGTTAAATATGAGTTTGAATTCATGATTATGACATGTATTTTTAGCATGCAGAGGTCTTTTTTGTTCCTCTCTGGTTCTGAGGTGTAATTTGGTAAGTTAGGCATTACTGTAGACTTCTTACAAAGAACCTGAAATAAGAAATTTAACTAGTTCTTAATTGACACAAACCTGACAAGATCTTTCTTTACTAAAATGAATTCAGTATTTCCCATTCTCAAGTTTTAAGAAAACCTATTTTAGCTTTGTTATTACAAAGCAAAGCATTAAGCAGATATAATTTACATTCAATAGTTTAAGTGCTAGAACAAATTCTGAAATACATGTAAACATCACATAAACAGTAATTATTTTTCTTTCATAGAGGAAAAATGTGAAATTGAATACAAAATGGCTTAATTGTTACCCATCCCCATTTGACAGTTATGTCTTTCAGAATTCTGTTACATTAAAACTACTAAAACAAAGTACTAGGACGAAAAGGGACTTTGAAAAAGGGCTAAATCTCTGTATCATATTTTGAAATATCAGAATCAAAATTTATCACAAATTTCATCTAAAAAAATAACACTAACATTGCATTTTGTCAGAATCAGAATTCTATTTCAACTAACCGCTTGACATTCTACAAAGTATTTTTGCCTCAATATATAACTACATTGTAATCATTCACTGTTCAAGAGCATTCCTGGTATTGGAAGAAGTCATTCAGCAATTACGGCTAGGGAAGGTCCTGGTTCCAGAAAGAGTTAGCTACAAGGCACTGAGAATCCAATGTCTATTAATCCAAATATCTCCAATTATGTAGGGCTTTAGACATAAAATGGCATTTAAAATCTGAATTCCCCTTGTTCTAACAGCCTCGTGATTATATAAAATTCCTATTTAATAATCAGATAAAAACATGAAAAAGGAAGCAATTCAATATAAAAATTATTTATATGCATATATTTTAGGTGACCAAACTATGAATATAATTAAATGAGAGATGCCTGTAAACAAAAGAAAAAGACAACTTTGAATCTAAAGTACTTTCCTTTCTGTGGACATCTGAATTTTATTTTGCCTTGTTTCATGAAACATCCTACAAAGCAGATAGAAAAGCCTTAAACTTCTTGATGGGCAATTTAACACACTGGAAAGATATTTCTCAAATTTATAGATTAGGCTGTGGGCATGTGTTGAAGCAAATTTCTATCTGTCAACGCACATGAGGCTGACAGCAGACTTGTCCACACAGACCTGGCAGGCCAGAAAGGACTGGTATAACATATTCTACGTGCTAAATGGGAAGAATATGCAGCCAAGAATACTTCATCCAGCAAGGCTGTCATTCAGAATAGAAGGAGAGATAAAGAGTTTCCAGGACAAACAAAAACTAAAGGAATTTGTGAACACTAAACCAGCTCTGCAAGAAAAATTAAAGGGGATCCTTTGAGCAGAGAGGAGCCCAAAAGTAACAAAGACCAAAAGATACAGAGACAATATATAGGAACAACAACTTTACAGGTAATACAATGGCACTAAATTTATATCTTTTGAGGCACCTGGGTGGCTCAGTCGGTTAAGCAGCTGCCATAGGTTCAGGTCATAATCCCAGGGTCCTGGGATAGAGCCCCACATCGGACTCCCTGCTCGGTGGAGAGCCTGTTTCTCCCTCTCCCTCTTCCTTCCACTCTCTACTTGTGCTCTATCTCTCTATCAAATAAATAAAATCTTCTTTCAAAAAATTTATTAACTAAATAAATTTATATCTTTTGATAATTATTCTGAATGTAAATGGACTAAATGCTCTTATCAAAAGATATGGGGTATCAGAATGGATTAAAAAAATAAGTTCCATCAATATGCTGCCTATAAGAAACTCATTTTAGACCCCAAAACACCACTAGATTGAAAATGAGGGGGCACGGGAAAAAAAAAAAAAGGAAGTAAGGGGGTGGAGAACCATTTATCATGCTAATGGAAATCAAAAGAAAGCTGGAAGGCCATTCTTATATCACAAAAACTAGATTTTGAACTAAAGACTGTAATAAGAGATGAAGAAGGACACGACATCATAATAAAGGGGTCCATTCAACAAGAAGATCTAATAACTGTAAATATTTATACCCCTAACTTGGGAGCATCCAATTATATAAACCAATTAACAAAATTAAGGAAATTCATTGATAATTATACAATAATAGTAGGGAACATTAATAATCTACTCACAGCAAAGGACAAATCATCAAAGCAAAAGATCAACAAGGAAATAAGAGCTTTGAATGACACACTGGATGAGATGGACTTAACAGATATATATAGTGCATTTCATCCTAAAGCACCAGAACACACATTCTTTTCCACTGTACATTGAACATTCTCCAGAAGAGATCACATCCTGGGTCACAAATCAGATTTCAACCAGTACAAAAACACTGAGATCGTATCATGCAGATTTTTAGACCACAAGCTATGAAACTTGAAGTCAGCTACAAAAAGAAATCTGGAAGGACCACAAATACATGGAGGTTAAAGAACATCCTACTAAAGAATGAATGGGTCAACCAGCAAATTAAAGAATTTTAAAAATACATGGAAGCAAATGAAAATGAAAACACAACAGTTCAAAACCTTTAGGATGCAGCAAAGGCAGCCCTAAGAGGGAAAAACATAGCAATATAGACCTTTTTCAAGAAACAAAGTCTCAAATACACAACCTAACCTTACACCTAAAGCCTAAATCCAGCAGGAGAACAGAAATAATAAAGATCAGAAATCAATGATAGAGAAATCAAACCACTGTAGACCACATGAACAAAACTAGGAGCTGGTTCTTTAAAAGAATTAATATTGATAAACCCCTAACCAGACTTATCAAATATAAAAGAGAAAGGACCCAAATTAAAATTATGAATGAAGGAGGAGAGCTCACAGCCAACACCGAATAAATACAAACAATTATAAGAGAATATTATGAGCAATTATATGCCAACAAATTAGACAATCTGGAAGATATGGATAAATTCCTAGGAACTTATAAACTACTAAGAAGAAAGAGAAGAACAGACACAGAAGAAAGAGAAAACCTGAATAAACCTATAACCAGAAAGAAAATTGAATCAGTAATCAAAAATCTCTGAACAAAGAGTCCAGGGCCAAATGTCTTCCCAAAGGAGATCTACCAAACATTTAAAGAAGAATTAATACCTATTTTTCTGAAACTGTTTCAAAAAAAAAAGAGAAATGGACAAAAATTTCCAAACTCATTCCATAAGGCCAACACTACCATGATCCCAAAACCAGACAAAAACCCCACTAGAAAGGAGATTTGCAGCCAATATCCATGATGAACAAAGATGCAAAAATTCTCACCAAGATATTAGCCAATAGGTCCAACAGTACATTAACAGGATTTAACCACAATCAAGTGGGATTTACTCCTGGGCTGCAAGGGTGGCTGAACATCTGCAAATCAACTGATGTGATACACCACATTGATGAAAGAAAAAACTATATGATTCTCTCAATAGATGCAGAAAAAGCATTTGACAAAATACAACATCCTTTCTTGATTTAAAAACCTCCTCCATGTAGGGATAGAGGGAACATACCTCAATATCATGAGCACATATCATCCACAATGGGGGAAAAACAGAGCTTTTCCAATAAGGTCAGGCACATGACAGGGATGTCTACTCTCACTACTGTTATTTAACATAGTACTGAAAGTCCCAGCTGCCAGCAATCAGACAACAAAAAGAAATAAAAGGGATCCAAATCAACAAAGAAGAAGTCAAACTTTCACTCTCTGCAGACAAAATGATACCCTATGTAGAAACCTCTAAAGACTCCACCCAAAAATTGCTAGAACTGATAGAGGAATTCAGCAAAGTCACAGGATATAAAATCAATCCATAGAACTCAGTTGCATTTCTATACACTAACAACGAGGCAGAAGAAAGAGAAAGCAAGGAATCAATCCCACTTAAAATTGCACCAAAAACCATAGGATACCTAGATACAAACCTAACCAAAGAGCTGAAAGATCTGTACTCTGAAAACTATACAATGCTTGCGAAAGAAACTGAGGAAGACAAAAAGAAATGGAAAAACGTTCCAGCTCATGGATTAAAAGAACAAATATTGCTAAATGTCTACACCACCCAAAACAATCTACACATTAAATGCAATCCCTATCAAAAGACCATCAACATTTTTCAGAGCTGGAACAAACAATTTTAAAATTTGTATGGAACCAGAAAAGACCCTCAACAGGCAGAGTAATGATGGAAAATAAAACCAAGGCTGGAGACATCACAATTCTGGACTTCAAGCTCTATTACAAAGCTGTAATCATTAAGACAGTATGACACTGGCACAAAAACAGACATGTAGATCAACAGAACAGAATAGAGAACCCAGAAATGGACCCAAAACTATATGGTCAACTAATCTTCGACAAAACAGCAAAGAACATTCAATGGAAAAAAGATAGTCTCTTCAACAAATGGTGTTGGGAAAATTGCAGAAGAATAAAACTGGACCACTTTCTTATACCACACACAAAAATAAACTCAAAATGGATGAAAAACCTAAATGTGACACAGAAATCCATCATAGGACACAGGACATAGAAATCCTAAAGGAGAATTCAGGCAACAACCTCTTCAACCTTGGCCACAGCAACTTCTTGCTAGACAGGTCTCCAAATGTAAGGGAAACAAAAGCAAATATGAACTATTAGGACTTCATCAGGATAAAAAGCTTTTGTGCAGCAAAGGAAACAGTCAAAACTAAAAGGCAGTCTATAGAATGGGAGAAGATATTGACTTATCAGACAAAGGGCTAATATCCAAAATATATAAAGAACTTAACAGTCCCAACATCAAAAAAAAAAAAAAAAAAAAAAATCCAGGCAAGAAATAGGCAGAAGACATGAACAGACATTTCTCCAAAGAAGACATACATGAAAAGATGCTCAACAGCACTCGGCATCAGGGAAATAGAAATCAAAACCACACTGAGATAGCATTTCACACCTGACAGAATGGCTAAAACGAACAACTCAGGAGATGACAGATGTTGGCAAGGTTGTGGAGAAAGGGGAACCCTCTTAGGCTACTGGCCAAAATGCAAACTGGTGCAGCCACTCTGAAAACAATATGGAGATTCCTCAAAAAGTTAAAAATAGAAGTACCCTACGACCAAGCAGTTGCACTACTAGGTATTTATCCAAAGGATACAAACATAGTGATTCAAAGGAGCATCTGTACCCCTATGTTTATAGCAGCAATGTCCACAATAAACCAAAATATGGAAAGAGCCCAGATGTCCACTGATTTATGAGTAGATAAAGATGTGGTATATATCCACACATATATCTATGAATGGATAAAGATGTGGTACACACACACACACACACACACACACACACACACACACAGGAATATTACTCAGCCATCAAAAAGAATGAAATCTTCAGGAGCACCTGGGTGGCTCAGTGGAGTAGGGGGTCTGTCTTCGTCTCAGGTCCTGATCCTAGTGTCCTGGGATCAAGTCCCAAGCTGGGTTCCCTGTCCTGCAGGAAAACTACTTCTCCCTCTCCCTCTGCCTGTCGTTCCCCCTGTTCATTCCCTCTCTCTCAAATAAAAAGTTTTAAAAATCTTTTTAAAAAAATGAATGAAATCTTGCCACTTGCAACAACCTGGATGGAACTAGAGGGTATTATGCTAAGCAAAATAATTCAGTCAAAGAAAGACAAATACCAGGTGATTTTACCCGTCTACAGAATTTAAGAAACAAAACAGATGAACATAGTGGAAGGAAAGAAAAATAAAATAAGACAAAAACAGAGAGGGACGCAAACCATAAGAGACTCTTAACTACAGGAAATAAACTGAGGGTTGCTGGAGGGGATGTTAAGTGCGGGGATGGAGTAGTTTGGTGATGGGCATTAAGGAGGGAACATGATGTAATGAGCACTGAGTGTTATATGCAACTGATGAATCACTAAATTCTAACCCTGAAACTAATACTATAGTATACATTAACTAGATGGAATTTAAATAAAAAATTTCTATGAGTCTACCTTAACAAACAGTAATTCTTTATAAATAGGAATTGAAGTAAGAACAAACAGAATTGATAAAAACAGGTAATATTTAACCTCTGTGGATCTTCCGCTTTTTTCCAAGTGTCAGGGAGATGCTTAGCCAGATCCATCATATTCTCAGAGATTGATGTCAGTTGTTTCTTCACATCACTAGGTAGCATTTCCTCCTCTGGACAAGAAGACTCAATGTTAATTTTCAAACCACAATGCAGAGAGATTTATTTAGTCATTTATTTAAACAGTGTTAGGGTTCCATTTTCATTTTCTTTCCTTAAGCAAATTCCAGCAAAAGGACTTCTTTATTCTACCTCCATGTCACCTCAGTCACTTTACTTCCCTTTCAGATTTTTGCTACTTGAATTTTAGAATAAATTCCAAATGATCTACATTCATACACATTACAACCAGCAGTTAGCAATCTAGACTGAAGAAGGCAGAAATGAGAATCTGAACCCAACTAACACTATCTCAAAATCAGAACAGATTTCTGCAGGCTCTTACTTATGAAACATAGTTCAGTAAACATAACCTGAGCCAACAGCCAAGCCTCACTTCCCTTCTCATCAATCATGACCAAAATAAAATGCAAACCTTTCTAATCAGCGATCATCTTCCAAACTCTCAACTTCATTCTGTCTGGCACATCCTTCTCCATCAACACCACGCCTGCCTGCCTTCCTCGAACCCTTCTCCTGCTTAGAGTTTCTTAGAGCTCATCACCATTTTCTCTTGTCCTCAAAAGTCCAGCTCTGCTGAAGCATGTGACATGTCCCATCTGCTATTCCTGATTGCTGCATACTTCGATCTCAAAATCACATTCTTTCATTCATTGAAGATTTCACTGCCTGGTTCAGTTTTTCCCTTCACAGCTACTCCTATGATAATTCCACCTAAAATTGTGGCCTTTTCAGTGCTTTGATCCTTCCATTTCCAACAATCTTTTCCTCAACTGACCTCAGCCACCCATTCCTAGACATTTGACCTTATAATTGCCAATAAAGTCACTACTTCCAAACTTCAATGGTAAGCGTTCCTCCCGCCCTCGGAACACCAGCATACTGGCTTGCCTTCCAGGATGCCCTCCCCAACACAACTATTCTTTCACACTTTCAGGATCGAATCCACTGATCCCAGCATCTTTTCCATACACCTTATTCTTCCCACTCCCACTCCCCACCATGTCTTTTTTTCCTTTCTTGCCCATATTATAATAATCATTCCCTTGTAGAACTCTGACCTCTTTTGCTCCTTCCTCCCTCCATGGTACTTTTTATCTAGGAAAACCCCTACTCTAATTAATCCCAGCTTTTTTACCTACTTGATGCCTATATTCACAGAGCTGACTATAACTGAAGATAAAACACAGCCAAGATGACTCAGCTTGCTTTAAATTCATGACACAGATCTCAAAGGAACCCTCGGTAGACTGTTAAATATTCTGTATTTCCCACTTTTCTACTATCAAGATGACTATTTCATACCTCTTTCTTTCTCTCCAAGCTTCTAACATCTGCTTGCTCCTCCTTTTACTCAAGGAACAACTTCACCCCTCATAACACTAAGAAAATAGAAAAAGAAAACTATCTCATCTTCCCACCCCCACAATCTGCTAGTTAGTCTGTACTCACAGAACTACTCTTATTTACAGCAAAATTCCATGAAAGAGTTGTCCACACCACACAGTCTCAAATTTTCTACTCCCATTTTCTCCTAAGCCTTCGCCCCCACCAGCACGGCATGGCTGCTTTGGGAAAGGTTATTCCGTGACCTCCACACTGTCAAATCTAATTGTCAGGTCTAGTTCCTCATCTCCTTCAGATTCTCAGCCATTTGAAAGAGCTGATAATTCCTTCCTCCTTAAAACACGTTCTTCCTGCGGCTTCTGGACACAACACCTCTTGACACTCTGCCTTCCACCACCACCCCTTCTTGAACCTTCTCCACTGCACTTTCCTCCTCTCCCGATCTCTAAATGTTGGTATGCCCTCAACATCAATACTTGGACCTCCTCTGTTCTTTATTCCAGTCACTGCCTCTTTCATCTCATCTCCTTTCACTGCTTTAACTGCCATCTGTATCTTGATGTTTCCCAAAGTTACATCTCCAATCTCAACCTTTTCCCTGAACTCCAGAATCACATTTCCAACTGTGATATCTGCCTGGATATCAATAAGCACCTAAAATTTAGCATATCCAAAACTGAAATCTAGATTTTTCTCACCCAATCCCCCCTTTCCCATAACCTTTCCACCATAACTGATCCTTCCATTAACTCAGCTGATCCCACCAAAATATGTTTATTGTCCTCTCAGTCTCTGGATCTTACCCCTTTGGAGAATTCATTGGCAAATCCTTCACAATTTATACCTTCAAAACATATACACATTCTACCCACTTCTTACCATCTATCTCTACTGCTACCAGCCTAATCCAAACAATTGTCATCTCCTGCTGGGACTACTAGAGTAGCCTAATAGACTTCCCTGCCTAAACACTTGCTCTTCTATAGCAGCCAAAAAAAAAAAAAAAATCCTTTTGAATTAAAATTTAATCATGTCATTTTCCTGCTCCAAACTCTCTAAGGGTTTCCCATCACTCTACTTTGTATTTATCGTGATTAATAAAATATGAAGCCATAGTCACCACCTCTAAGGCCCTAAATGATCCATCTGGCCCAAGCTCCTTTTCTAGCCTCATTTCTTCCCACTCTGACCCTTACTCATTTCGGCTCAGTTCTCCTCACTGTTCCTCAAATAAAGCAAGCAATCACCCTCAGACACTTAGTTCTTTCCCCGATGCCTGTTACATTCTTCCCTCAGATATTCACGTGGCTCCTTCGTGCACTCTGTGAAATGAAGTGAAGGTGCTTGGTCTCCTGTGTTCAGTGCACTTTCCCCCACAACTGAAACTGTGTTTGATTCATAATAAACATCCAACAAATATGTCATATGCATGAATGAATATCCCCTTACAAACCAATCTTCTAAAAAAGAAGTTTTTTATACATGCTTCCTCACATTCCTTGGATCTAGTAACTTCTCTAATCATGTTAGTATGACTTCTACTCACACCACCCCAATACTCCTCTCTTGCTCTGCTTATAGCACCTCCATGTTCCCAAAGCCTGTGACCGTTCTTTTTTTTTTTTTTTAAGATTTTATTTATTTGATAGAAAGAGACACAGCAAGAGAGGGAACACAAAGCATGCCAAACAGAGAGCCCAATGTGGACTCTAACCCAGGATCCTGGGATCATGACCTGAGTTGAAGGCAGACACTTAACGACTGAGCAACCCAGGTGCCACAACCCTTTTCCATTTTAATAGCACATGCCCCAAATAACCACTCTCCCCCCGAGAACACTCTTTTGTCACCCAGTACACCAAAGCTGCTAGAGTCAAAGGTTACAAATGGTTGTTGCATTGCCAAAACTGATGATTAATTCTAAATCCTCAGTTTCTCAAACTCAGCAGGACTTGAAACAGGTTGATAACTCCCACGTAAAGCATGCCTCTTCACTTGGCTTTCTGCACACCATATCTCCTAATTTCCTTCTATGCCGGTGGTAGACAACTCCTTTGTCATCCCTTCTACCATGCAAAGACAAAATACTAAGAGTTCCTCAAAATTCTTAGTCCCAGTTCTTTACCTCTAACTAAAGCTATCCTCTGAGCTACCGCCTGGATATCAGAGTCCCACCTGGCCCCTTCCACCTTGCTGACAGCCTTCCTTCCTTTAACATATCTAAAATCAACAGTGACCCCTCAGCTCCAAAGCTTGCTCCTTTTCGTCAATGTTTTTCACCCATTGTTCGTGGCAGCAACACAGGAATGATCCTTGACAAATGGCTCTCATCATCACACCAAATTCTGCTGACTCTACTACTCTATTAAATGTATTTTGAATCTATCCCCTTCTCTCCATTCTCAATACAACCATCCAAGCCGGGTCACCACCGCCTCTCCCTTGGATTGCTCTCAAGGCCTCCTAACGAGCCTTCCCACTGTGACCCTTGCCCTGTTATAATCCATTTTCTACTCTACAGCCCAAGTTATTCCTTTTTTCTTTTTCTTTCAATATAATTCATGTCTCTCCTGTGTTTAAACCCCCTAATACCTCTTAGGAGGAAATTAAACTCCTCACGTAAACATGGCCTATCTGCTTTCCTTGTTCTGCGTCTCTGTCCCGCACTCCATCATATTTAACCATTCACCACACTGAACTACTTTCAGTTGCCTATCTATCCTACGATCTCTTTTTGTGCCGGCTATTTCCTGTGCCTATGACACTTTTCCTTTATTCTTCCACTACCTAACTCTTGTTCCCATTTCAGGTCTCGCCTTAAACATCACTTTCTCCAGGAAATACTGCAATACTTCCAAATATGCATCAGATGGCTCTCCTTTGTGCTAACCACAGCGCCTTGTTTTCCCACATCATGAGACTCATCTCCCTGTGGCCATGCCTCCTTTGTTCATCTCTATATCCCCTACAAACCTGTAGATTTCCCTCTCAGGAAGCAGATCATGAGTATCTTGTTCATTACTATATCCCCATATCATAAAGTCCTCAACAATTTTTAATAAATGAGTAAGTGTGTTTTTATCTACTATATTGTTCAGTGTTTATTAGCTACCATCCTAGAGTAAGCTAATATTTTAACAAGAAGAAACAATGTGTGAATATCCTTTTACTTCCTGATGTTATAATCCACTTTAATTCTTTAGTAAGAAGAAAAAACACAATTTTATAACTAAAAGTGGACATTTGAATACATCATGTATAAATACACCAGGGAAATTAAACAACAGTGAGGCTGATACCTCTGGCTTCCTAACAGGGAGGGAGGAAGGGAGGGAGGGGAAAAAAAAAGAAGAGTGGTAATCTTTGTTACAATTCACTACGATCCTAGTCAATGTACCTCACTTCAGATGTCAAAATATATTCACACATATAATGCAATAAAGAATAAAAGTGAGTGTCAAACAATGCAGTACTGAAATGACAGGTACACAGATACCAGGACTTCTAGTAGCAACTTATAAACATATGGTCCTTTAGTGAGATATCTTAAACATTTCCTTAGAAGCATTTTAATCAGAGACAAAATTGTAAGTATAGCCCTAGAAGTAATTCTGCAAACCACAGATTCAAAAAACCATGAATCCCTCTGTTGAGTTGAATTCTGTTATGACTTAAATAAGTTCTATATTGTTCTCCAGATTAGCTTCAAAAACATATCATCTGCTCAATTTAAGCAAGATAATTTCTAGCCACAGTACCTTTGGCTATAGAGAGTCAGCAAGCTCTCATCAGAAGTGACTTTCCAGGGAAAGAAAGAAAACCTAAGGAGTCTTCTACCTTACTAGGTAAAGAAGGAGGGTCTATTACAAAGGACATGAATCCCTTCTTAATGTCAATCAAAAAGGGTACAACATAATTTTATATGTTGAGGTCACACCTTATCTTTAAGCTTATTTAGCAAAATCACTAATTTAATTAACATCTTAACAATTATTTAAAATCTCCAAAACAAGCTACAAGAATAGGAATAACAACTCTATATAGATCAGTACAGGTGCTCATAATAGTCTGTCCCTTAGTGCTCACTATTCTATGCACTAGATATGGGGCTATCATCTATATTCCAAGCACTGGGAAACATGTAAATCTCAAGTCACATGGCAGGGGTTTGATTTCTGTCACAGGAAGAGCCCATGCTCTTTCACTCTACTATGTAGAGTGTGTAGCTATCACTGACCTATTGAGGCATATGAGAAAAGCATGGAAGTAGAACAAAGTGGCCATACTTTTTGGAGGAAAACAGCAATTATCTTACCCTAGAAAAAATTTAGAAATTCAAACCAGGACACTATAAAGTAACTTGTACATTTTAAATATTTATAGCAAGGATGTAATAATCTCCAGACTGGGAGATAACTGGTTGTGTCACTGATGTTATCAAACCCACAAAGCCCCAACCAAAGAAGCCTGATGAAAAGCTATGTGACAAAGCAGTAATAAGTCCTCCTCTGCCACGAGTAATGTGCCTGAAACTCCAATCTTGGGCCACAGAGATCTCACACCCTAATGTCAACATGGTTCACACACTCAAGGAGTTGCAATACTAAACAGTCAGCACATGCGTGAATACTGACTTTTGGAGATAAACCTCACAAGAGAGTAAATTCAAATTTTATCTTTTATTTTTAGAGCACCACATACCTTTTTTATTTACAGCAAACCTTTGCACAGCATCACCTAAAATCTCTAATTTTTGATAAATGATGAGACCAGCCTATTAAAAAAAAAAGCAGAAAAGTGAAAAGAGTATGCTAAAGGTAACCAAAATAAGGCTTTATGTACCATCTTTAGAAAAATCAACAGTGACTCCTAAAGCACCCAAAAGGATGCAATCAACTTATTATGTTACACAAAGATCTATGGCTTCATTAAATCACCATACCAATTTCGAGAGTGGGTAAAATAAGCTACTTGTGCCTTAAAAGTTTTACATTTTTATCTTTTAATAATCAATATTCTAAGGAGTTATCCAAATCAAAAAACTTATAAGTGGGACTCCAACAAAATACAATCAAGTACGAGAAGTGTGTTTTGGCAACACATATCTACTCCCCTGTATCTCATTAAATCAGCTGTGAATGTCAACTTAATGAACAGCCCTCCTTTCAAGCAGTGTTAACAGGAACAACCAAATCACACTGATTTTTCATGAATAAAAATATTACAGAACTTGCACAAGTTCTCAACAAGTTCTATGATTTTTTTTAACAGAATGCAAAGGAAAATTATCACCCTATTTCCTGACAAGATTGAATTTTTTTGTTTTGAAAAAAAGGAGTTTCCAGGCCTAAAAATAGATGTGAAAAGGGAAACAGCAAGATATTCATTTACAAATGAAAGTATAAATTAAGGAAAAAGAAATCCACAGGGACATAAAATGTATTTCCTAGCAAAAAACAAAACCGAGAAATAAATAATGCTATACATTAAGCACAAATTTCAGTATGTATGAATATGTAAATATGAAAATACAACTGACTAACAGCAGTGGAAAGCTAAATTTGGAGGTAATTTTCCAAAATTTTTAGCATATTTTAAATGTAAATATAAGAAATAATGCCAGTCTCAATATAGGAACTATAATTATTTTTATTTTGAAGTTGCTTATAAATCAAATACATCATCAATATCATTTGTGTTTGCTCAGCCTGTGTTTATTAGCTATCCATGTTTTCAGAGATTACATTGATTACATAGAAATTAGACATTATTTTGGCTTCATGACAATAAAAAATACTAGCAGTGAACAATCCATTGATTGGTACTTGCCAATTAATATTGAGAATTATCAGTTTCACTGTCTTCTTAAGCATGTTTAATGCAACCTAATTTAAAATATTTGAGTTATTACAACAAAATTTTTCTAAAGTAATTTATTATAAGTTTAAAAACACATCATAGTTTAAAGATCTTTGTTACATACATATGCATCAGTGGCTGCATATAGTTTCTGATCCTCAGTGAGAGGAAAGTCACTCCAATTGCTACAGCGGATAGACCTGTCTTTCAGAAGCTGTTTGCCGAAGAGATGTTTAATCAAACCATTCAGGCTCCAGATCTCTGTACATTTCAGCTGGAAGTAAAGAAAAATCAATACTGCAAAGAAGTATTTCTTTCTTTTTCAGATATTTCTAAATACCAGCAAATGCCCAGGCCACAAATAAAGCTAGAAATGTTATACCAAAATATATGGCAGAGTTAGTCCTTAATAAATTTTCCAAATAGTGTAATATTAGTTTCGGGTGTCCCGACATGGTGATTCAACACTTCCACACAACACCCAGGGCTCATCACAAGTACATGCCTTATGTCTACCTTTTCATTGGCAACATCTGTCAGCTCCACAAAATTCTTCAAATTGATGTCAAAGTCACATAGAAGCTTCTGCTGATCTCCTTTGATTCCCACACCTGCTTTTTTAATTGCTTCATTTTCAAGCAACATTTTTAATCCCTGAGGAAAAACTGTAACATTTTATTATTATTTCCATAGGTTCTATCAAGTATTACTGATTTTCTACTTCTTACACATGCTATGTTTATATTTAAATTTATGTTTATGTTAAGATTAAATTCAGAAACACATTCACCTTGAGTATTTCTTTTTTTTTTTTTAAGATTTTATTTATTTATTTGAGAGAGTACAGAGGGAGAGGGAGAAGCAGACTCCCTGCTGATCAGAGAGCCCAATGTGGGGTTTAATCCCAGATCCCTGAGATCATGACCCAAGCCAAAGGCAGACGCTTAACCAACTGAGCCACCCAGGCGCTGCCACCCTGAGCATTTCTTTTCTTACCTAAAGCAAAATCCTGACTGATAAATGACAAAAAAAACAACTGGTTTGACTACTTTCCCTGCTAACATTAACAGTATATTCCTGATCAGTTAGCCCCTCTAAACTTCACTTCTCTGCTGTCTAAACCAGGAATAATAACAATACCTGATGGAGACATTGTAAAAATAAATAAAACAGGGATATGAATGAATCAGGTGTAACATGAATACTTCAATAAATGTAAGGTGATGAGAAAAGCACCAGCTATTTCAAAAGCTTAATTTTGTAGGGATAAGGTTGACATAATACAACTATCAACCATAAAAATGAAACAAAGAGATACTAACCTGACATAGAAGAAATATGAAACAAATAACATTTGCTCTCTGACACACATAACTGAATCAGTGCAACTCTGCTCTGTTTCCCTTTACTGTACGCTGGTGGCCATTCCATGTCAAATCCTACCACACCTCCAGTACACAGATCCGTGCTAAAGGGGAAAAATATAGTGCAGATGAAATACATTAGTATTTTAACTTCTGTATAACTTCTGCATTCCAAAAATTAAAAGACAAGTCATATATGGTAGAAGATATCTATGATACAAATACCTGATAATGAACAGCCAGAAAATATTAAAAATTCCTTGAAAAGTTGGTAAGAAAAAAACAGATAATCCAGTAAAAAGGAGGAGGAGGAGGAGCGGGAAGAGGAGGAAAAGGAGCACAGTATCAAGTACTGAGAAAGATACCTACCTGCTCAAACACTGGTGAATGTAAATTGGTAAAATCCTTTTAAAAAAGGCTTTGATAATATTTAGCTGAAGATGTATAAACACTATGACCCACAAGTTTTTTCTCGTAAATATATCAAACTCTCAGATGCGTACAGCCAGACAGATGTTTAAGAATGTTCACTGCAGGGACGCCTGGGTGGCTCAGTTGGTTAAGCAGCTGCCTTCGGCTCGGGTCATGATCCCAGCGTCCTGGGATCGAGTCCCACATCGGGCTCCTTGCTCTGCAGGGAGCCTGCTTCTCCCTCTGCCTCTGCCTGCCATTCTGTCTGCCTGTGCACGCTCTCTCTCTCTCTCTCATAAATAAATTAAAAAAAAAAATCTAAAATTAAAAAAAAAAAAAAAAAAAAGAATGTTCACTGCAGGGGCACCAGGGTGGCCCAGTTGGTTACACATCCAACTCTTGATTTCAGCTCAGGTCATGATCTCAGCGTCCTGGGTCTGGCCCTGCATCAGGCTCTGTGCTCATCAGGGAGTCTGCCTGAGGTTTCTCTCTCCTCTCCCTTTGCCCCTCCCCCACTCACACTTGCTCCCATGTATGCTCTCTCACGTTCTCTCACTCTCTCCAAATCTTCAAAAAAAATAATTTGCTTAAAAAAAAAAATGTTCATTGTAATACTGTTCTTTCTGGCAAAAATGGAAACAAACTGTATTTCCATCAACAAAAGAATGGGCAAATTGTGGCATATGGAAACAATTAAATATTATATAAAAATTAAAATAGAACTACATATACCAAAAAGGAAAAATTCTCAAAAAAAACATAAAATGTTGAGTGGAAAACACAAGTGGCAGAATATACATATAGTTTGATAGCATTTTTTAAAGTTTTTAAATGGGCAATATAACAGCATATGGTATTTGAGGATATAAAAGTATAGATATAATAAAAAACATGTGAGGGAATGTTAAACACTGAACTCATGCTAAAAGTTATCTCAGAGGGCTGCAGAGGGGAGAATCAGAATGGACATACCTGGGGATTCAGCTGTATTTTACCATACCACTTCTTAATAAAGACTTAAAGAAAATGGATATTAAGATTTGCTAAAGTGAGGGTTTTGTTATATTATTTTCTATTTTTGTTTATATTTGCCTGTTTTATAATTTTTAAAAATTAAAAATGCATATCACAAAAGAATCTCAATTTCCGCTTTGGGCCAAGATGATAAGACATATCTTTCCTCTATGAACAAACAGAAAATTGGACAAAATAGGTAAAGACACTGAACAATAGGCAATACAGGACTGTGCTCTCTGAGGGAAAGAAAACCATGGGGGAGCCCTACCGCTGCCCCCACTTTCTACCTGGAACACTTTCCAGACAACAGAACAGGGAGAAGTCAAAGCAGAGCACTGAGTTAGGGAGACAGGGTTCGCAGCCAGAGAGGCTGAGGGAGCTGGAAGAAGTTTCTGGAGCTGGAAGAAGTTTCTGGAAGAAGTTTCTGGGAGCTAGGCAAGAAAGAGGCTGAACACAGACCAACCAGGGAGCCATCGGATGAACAATTCCTAGGGATTACTTACATGTAGGGAAGAGGCATTAAAGTTCTGAAAAGTGGCCTTAGAGAGTCTTGTTGATCGCCTGGGGCAGTCAGCAAAGACTCCATGAGGGCCACACCTTATTATTATAGGGCTAAATTACTCCCAGAGTAAAGACACCTATCAACCTGCCCTAATAAATCTTAAAAATAATGGCTCAAAAGGTAAAAGCTGATCTTCAGGTAACTTAACTTCCTGACAGAGTGAAGCTCTTTTCTTTGAAGAAAAACAAGCAAACCCAACATTAAGCAGGGTAAAATCACAATGTCCAGTCAAAATTGCTGGCATTAGGAAAAAACAGAAAATGCGACCCCTAACCAGGATAAACATCATTTCATAGAAAAAATCAGTAAAATAATGGAATTAATAGACAAGCACACTGAAACCACCACTATAAATATGCTGAATATGTTCAAATATTTAAAAGAAAACATGACTATGAGAGCCAAACTGGAAGATACTTCCTAAAAAGAAACAAATAGAACTTCTAGAGAAGGAGAAAAGAATAACAGGATGGGGGGGGGTTACTAAAGAAATTTTTTAAATCTGTTGAGACTAGAAACCCACAGGTCTGAGAAGGTCAATGAACCCCCAAGCAGGATGAAGACAAACCACACTACACAAAGTGACATCATAATCAAATTGCTGAAAACCTGTGATAGCAAAAATCTTTAAGCCAGCCAGTGGGGGGGGGTAAGAAAAAAAAGCCTGCCTATCATAATGTACACAGAATTCATCGGAACTACATCCCTCAAATCACTTATGCTTATTGCCTTTACATATGACATGCTATGGTCCTGACAAAGGTAGAGTTAATATATAATCATAACTGACAGATTTTACCTTCTCTGTGAGACAAATTTTGTTCTATATAAAGAGACCCAATAGCGGGGCCAGTTAACTAGGAGTGAGGACACTTGAATACTATTTCTAGAATTCATCTACCACCAGGAGATCATAATAGCTTAACTTAACTCTGTATCTTTTAACCATTGCAATGTACAACAGTTTAAAAAAAACAAACAAGTATAATAACTTCAAAGAAGATCTGAATGAATTCCTTCCTTCTTCTTCTCCTTGTAAAATGCTTTAAGAGGCTTGGATTGCATTATTGCATAATCCTAATTTAACAGGGCAATTTTAAAAAATACTAACAGTCATTTCTAATGTTCTTCTTAGGAATCATTTGCTGTAACTGTTGCAAACTAAACGCAACAGAGCTGATCACAACCATTATTCACTACTAATTTGCTATTTTTAATGAAATATAAAAGGGACATTTGGAGGTTGAATAATTCTTACATTTTTTTTTTGCCCTACATTGGTGAAATAAACAATGTGTTTAAGTATTTAAGTACTGAAAGTAACAAAAAATTAGCCAATAGAAAGGATTATGAGCAACATGTACATTATACATTTAATCCAGTGATTTTAAGATTTTTAAACGTAAAATTAGAACTTGTCAAATGATATTCTACATGTAGAAATGATTATCTGTAGAACACACATTAACTGTAAAATTCAATCTACTTACAAACATTGTCATAATAGTTATCTTCTAAGGGTTCAAATTCAAATGAAACTAGAAAATTCAAATCTCTTACCTAATATCTTCTGATAGAAAAGAGCAATCACTAGCTTCATAACTATAAACAATCGATCCAGTGAATTCTAAGAAAGGGAGGCCATCTTCAAAAACACTCTTCTGAATAGATGCCTTGAGTTAAATAAAATTTCAAAAAGGCACAAATAAAGTTCACATTAAATAAGAGATATTCACGGAAAAAATGCAGTTAATGGAGCATTCAAATTATGGTTCCAAGTTTTATCAACTAACGTTTTACAGACTAATGAAGTCATAAGGACAATGTAGCAAAAATAAAGCTATCCACTATAAAATTATTTTTCTAAAAAGTTATTTACAAACTTCTACTCCTATTTTCATAAGAGCACTTATAGTGTTAATTTTTTTCTGTAATTATATTAGCATTCTAGATGTAATAATGTTGCCTTAAGTTGCTGAAGAATGGCTGGTAGATCTTGTATCTATGAAAACTTAAACATGCTTACCCACAAAAATTCACCAAAGTAAATACCTTTCTAAATTGACTAAATTAGAACAAACTAATAAGGTCAACCCTACACAGCAAGAAAAAAGGTAAAATACAGAGTAAGAATTCCCATTATGTAAACCCCATTAAAATTTAGTCCCATTCACCCAATAAATGACTAAGTTGTGGTTCAATCACACAACAACTATTCTAACTTAAATGGTGACCTGAAGTTTACAAGTGAAGACTGACTGATTTTATAGTCAAATGTACACTAAATTTCCCATTAACGAATAACTGGTGAACTGCATACCTTTCCTTCTACTGCAGGACAGGTCTCATTCTGCCCAGACATCCATTCAGGAAGCTTCCGCTGCTGTGGAGTTGTTTCCAACTTTTTTTCATTCATCTTTACTAGGCTCCAGTTGCAAAATCCAAAACACAATTACTCTGTGAATAAATACAGTGCAATCTTTGAAAAAAAAAAAAAAAAAAAAACAACTCAGAAAGAGTCCTATGGATACCACTGAGGAACCAAACATGCAAATTTAAAGTTGCAGCATTTGGCCCACCTTTAGGTTTTAAGAGCTAGAATTGCAAAACAAAAGGAAACAGATATAATATGCTGGATCTAATAATTATATACTCAGTAGTATTTCTTCTTTTTAAAATAAGTGAGCTAATTTAATTGAATTCTAAGGTTCTAGTAGTTTCAAAATCCTATCATTTTATGACTTTGATCCTTTCAAAGAATAATCTTTATCTCATCACCAATGACAATCCTTGAGTGTGTAAATTCTTACAGATTTTGACATCTCTAATTTTCTTATCATCTGTCCTAAGATCTAAGTAAACTCAGCAAACTGTTGGACTTGTTCACAAGTCTACTTGAAAAATGAATTTTTAGACAGAGAACAGCTTTTCTATATTAAGGGTTTTCTTTTATTAAGCTCTTGGCCTAGTAAGTGAACAAGTTTCCCTAAGAATAAGAGTTTCGCAGAGGTTATTTTTAAAAATCTGTTACTAGCTGTGAGGGCTCTTCTCAATGTAAACCACACATAAAAAATGGTTATAGAAAACACAATGAATAGGAGAACCATGACAAACTCTTTTTGTTAATGGCAAATGGATCCATACCCTAGCGTGACCTAACACACTAAATTGAAGCAGTTTTAATTTCTTAATAAAATCTTTCCAACTCCAACCTTAGTTCCTATTATCTCAAACTGCGAGTAAAGGAGCAGCAGTTTTAAATATATACCTGAAGATTCTTATGATGAAACATATTAATATGAAATAATCACAACTACTTATGATTTAGGATAATCTGTTATCCCTATTGATACTTAGCAATATAAACCCAGAAGAAATTACACAATATCAGCAGGTATCCATTTTAATTGCTCATTTTCTCAAGCATAAAGCCCCAAAACTGAGAATACTGATAATTTATAAAGGAAATTTTTTTAAGGAAATTTTTAAAAGATTACTCTAGCAAAATTTTCTATATGAAACCAACTCTACCACTCTTATGCATTGGGAAGGAAAGGGTTAAAAACAGGCTAGTAATTTACTCTCCTTACTGGGGGAGAGGAAATGAAAGACCTCAACCAGGGATCCCAGTAATAACACTCACGATCTCAAACCAGATGGTAGCCTTGTAAAACTACAATGATATTTACTAGCAGAAAAATACCAAAGAGTACCTATCTAGAAAATGCTATTCACAAGATACAGCTCAACTATCTCGACTGCTCATCACAAATGAGCCTGGAATTCAGGATTTATTAATTTATGGCTGAAAAATGGGGAGTAGTCAAGTAAGCTGTGTCATTAAAACAATATAAAATAGAGGCATTCCAAAACCAACACAACTTCCTTTGTGCAATTTTTTTTTTTTTTTTTTTTTTTGCCCACATTGTCAAAACTATTCTGTTAATCTAAAACCATAACATGTCCTATTGCAAAAGAAAAGGACATTTTTGGAATCCATGTCTGACAGTCTGGGGATCCTCCAAAAAAAGAATACGCCATCTGCACTTGGTGCTTGCTTGTATTCTTTGAATCATTAGCAAAGTTTGGCGTTGGGTAAGATCTATGATTCACTGAATCAGAATGGACAACTCAAGTTTGGGTGTTACCATTCACATTATATTGGTAAGATAATATATGTAAAATATATGTTTTTATAGTCATCTTATAAAACATTTTACAAATGTTAGTAGTTATTAATACCTTTATATGTGTCACAAATTCAAAACTCTTAACAGGAGAGTTAAAATTTGATCCCAAAGTGTACTTTTTATATATGCTCCGTTCTTGGTCTTAAAATATTATTTTTATGAAGCTGGAAAACAAGTTTTGGCTATACACAAAGTAGATAATTTGCAAAACTGCCAAAAAATTGTGGTTTCTGCAAATAATAGACAACTCTATAAAAACACTATAAAATCTTAGTATTTTTTTACGTAATTCATTCACACTGCCAAAACAGAAATAAACTTCAGTAACTCTTCCCTGAAGCCACCTATAACACTAAAATCATTTTAATTTGAAATGCTTAGTTTTCAGATGTAAAATACTCTCTTTCGCACACAAAATTCTGTCTAGATACTTTCAGGCAAAGAATTTGAAAGTAAACTTGTTTACGGACCTAACATCTTCGTCAAATTTACTTAGATCTCAAGACAGATAAAAAGCACACAGAAAATTAAGGTTGTAGAATAATTTGCAACAAGGAAATTCTTCAAGATACATGAGGATTTGATCAGATAAAGGTTACTCTCAGAAGGGATCCAAGTCATTGAATGATAGGATTTTTCATTTATATATTTAGCTGTTGTGTTGTTGAGTATAAACAACTTTGACATGTCTTTTTCTAAAATCAAGACTCTTATCATTTCGTAACACTTCATCTTGTACCATTAAAAGATCTTAAATTTCTCTTTGAAATAAATACAGATGGTCCCTGACTAACAATGGTTTGACTTGGGATTTTTCAACATTACAATAGTGCAAAAGCAATACACATTCACTAGCAACCACAGATTTTGAACTTGGATCTTTTCTTGTGCTAGTCCTATGTGGTACGACCTTCTGTGGTGATGCTGGGCAGCAGCCTGGAGCCACAGCTCCTGGTAACCGTTCTGTAACCATGCAACCATTCTGGTTTTCACTTTCAGTATAACATCTAATAAATTACATGAGATGCTCAATACTTTATTATAAAATAGTCTTTCCGTCAGATGATTTTAGCCAACTGTAGACTAACTTAAGTATTCTGAGGATACTTATAGTCAGCTAGGCTAAGCTATCATGTTCAGGAGGCTAGGTATGAAATACATTTTCAACTTTCGATGGTCCATCTGGGAAGTCCTAAGTCAAATAAGATTTGTAATATACTTTGATTTGCATTGGTTTGGACTTTCCTGGAATCATCCTGCCTATCTACCCACCATTATCTGCTACTTTTCAGTCTTGATCACTTTTTTAAAGGCTACCTTTAAACATTATACACCTGGGATTTTTATTATTTTTTTATTTTTCAATTTTTTGTTTTGAATAATCCCATTGACATGTCTCTCAATAGCGTAATTCATCTCATTGCATTTAATGTAAGAACATGAGTTTTCTCTCTCATTTTACTTTGATTAGTATTTACCTTACTTTCTTCAGTTTTCTTACTTTTTTTCATTTTTCCTGATTGGCTGAAATTACCATCCATTCTCTTTTTCCATTATCAATGACAAAATGTCAATTTTTTTCCATCCAACTATTACCATACTATCTCAGCAAAATAATACAACAATATCCCTTCCCCATCCTGACCCTACATTTGCACTGTCCTGTTTTTTACTTTCCACCCTTCTAATTACTGTTTTTTGCTGATATGGTTTTGGCTACAGCCTGTCAGTCTTCTTAGTACTGCTCTTCTATTTCAACAATCCTTACTATTTTCAAAAATTTATTTTATAAATTTCATCATCTATTTTAATATAAATGTATTTATAAATTTAAAAAATGAATATATTGTTTACTATAGTTTCCTCTTCCCTTCATCTTACCCCTCTTGAATCTTTGCTCTGACTCAACTGTTTGTTTAGAGAACTCTAAATTATTTTCATCAAGTAGAATATGAAGGTAATAAACTCTGATTCCCTGCATATGTGAAAATGTATTTCTTCAATATATAAAATGATGTGTTTGTTGGCTGAGTAAAACAGTCCCTCAGTTGTCTATAGCTATTCGCTTACTTTCTTCTACCTTTTGATGCTGCAAGTAAGAAATTCATTGTTTCTCTGATGCTTTTTCTATTGTGAGTCATCTATTTCCCATCTGGGAACTTGAAAGACTTTCAAGGATGTTTAGATTTTAAGGAGCCTAAGTGTAAATTCTATTCTCCTTGGGATCAGTGAGTCCTTGGAAAGGGCTCCTTTCCAAGTCTTTTTCTTAAGATCAGAAAACTTTCCCCTCAATATGGGTTGAATTGCATCCCTCCTCAAAAAAAAAAAAAAAAAAAAAAATTGTCAGAATCCTAACCTCCAGTACTTCAGCATGTGACTCTTTATTTGGAAAAAGTCATTACAGAAGTAATCAAATTTAAACAAGGTTATTACAGTGGTCTCTAATCTAAACCGAGTGGTGGCCTTACAAAAAGGGGAAATATGGACACAGAGATGTCTCAGGCATGCACTGAGAGAAGATGTTGTGAAGAAACACATAGAGGAAAAAAGAGCCATCTACAAGCCACGAAGAGAAGGTCTAAAACAGATCCTTCCCCCACAGCCCTCAGAAGAAAACAACTCCACCAACAATTTGATTTCAGACTTCTGGCCTCCAAAACGATGAGAGAATAAATTTCTGTTTAATCATGGAGTATGCAGCACTTAACTGTGGCACCTGCAGCAAACTAATATACCCCTATTTTTAGTTTAGTTATTAATTGCCACTATCTCTTCCCTTTTTTCCTTCTACATTTATTCACATGCTGATGAATTTCTTCCTGCCTGGATTTCTTCTCCTAGACTCTATTTTTTCCTTCCTGACTACCATCTCTTGAATTTTGTTCTTTGTATTTTAAGACACTCCTTACACTTGACTTCCAAGATGCTAATTTCACTCCCAATGGTGATAGTCCTTTTCAGTTTGTCTACTGAATTTTTATAATGTTAAGATCTTGATTGTTAGTTCCAAAAAGTTTCCTTATGCTCTAGTTGAGTCTCTCTATGCTTATTATTTCTTTCTTTTGTAGGTTATAATCTAGTCCAAATATCTCTTTCAATAAAAGTCTCCTATTCTGGGTGTTCTTTGGTCTTCTTTCCACTGATGCTGGCTTCCTTAGTTGGACCATTATTTTCCTTTGCCTATAAACTCTATTTATCATCAGCAGTCATCTGCTCTTAGGGTCCCTCAGGAACCTGAGAACAGGACAAAAACTGTTAAGCCTTCCAATGAAGTATTAGGAAGCAATTT